TCGAATAAAAATAAAAATCTGTTTACGCCGAAGAAATGGAAGCATAAAGATTCCTGGGTCTATATGACTGTATCTATGTAGCATTCTATCCAGCATACAATTCTACCGGACCGTTATTTTCGTATATACCATAACTGTTCATCACATTTCTACCGTTATTGAATAGCTAGTAGTCCTCTATAGCTCAAAGAGAGATGCTATTGCAGCGGTAAATAATTCTCTAAAATAACTAGTACTATTTGTCTTCAACAATGACGCTGACCTTTTTAGTTTTACCGGATATACTTTTGCTACAGACGCATCCACACCTGATCACGGGTGATGACGTTGTGCTAATCATCATCTGTATGAATTAGCCGTCTTAGACCAAAGGATTTTCAACATGTCGATAGCTTTCCATATATCTCTTCTAAACCTTTCGTTTCTGACTTCTGATTTGACTCGGTTGGTATGCTTCGATTAAAAGGGCGTCACAAACAAAGGAGATACCAAACTCCCTTAGCTTGATAGAAAGATCGCGATACTTGACTAGTTAATATGAATGGTAACAATAAAAGATTGTATGTATACAAATAGAAAACCTTGCAAAATGAATAAGTTGGTAATGACTAGTAACGTGAATGGCGTAAGATTATTTAAATGTGATTGTTACGATAGTCCAAAGTAATAGAAGAGTTAAATAAGGTGAAGTAATAACAGGAAAAATTGTGAATAAAACCACGGGGATGTGAATAATAAATACGCATAGAAGGATATTTTCAGATCCGAAATATAATGATAATCACAACAACGATTGTTTAACGCCTAGGTAACGGTAAAGATTATTATCAACAATAATAATATTATTGTTCACAAATAACTCATGGGTACATAAGTGTTGTGAATAAACTATTTCAGGCCTCTTTGGAAATGCAACAATGCAAAAGTTTCAATAATGTTAGCATAATATTTGCCAGATTAAAAAAAGAATCAGATTCTATGTAATTGATAAGAAAATCGAGTTGACCTTGAAGGAGAGTGAAAAAATAAGGGAATAGAAATGAAGGAAACGCAATGTAATTGAATAGCTCAATAACCGTGTATGTTAAGACAGAGCAAGAATACACGAATATGTATGTATCGTCAAAGAAATGACAAGTAATAATTGAAAACTAACAAATAAAATAATAACTTATTATTGCAGTAAGATTTGATGGTAGAATAGGTGTTTGTGAAGTAATAGTTTGAGGTGATGCTATGAAAGTCTCAATTAATTGCAAAGGATAATCAATCATCAATGTGTATGGGTCATATATTATATATATATGTATTATATATATATATATTATATTCTTTATTAGTACATTCTTTAATATGGAGCCTCTGACTTCACTTCACTCTAACAAGACATAATATGAATTTATTCCAATTTATTATACCTCTGTCCGTTCTACTACACAATGTTAAGCAACGTTTGGCGTTCATATTCAAGCGCCTTTCTGCTCTTCCGTTTCTCTTTTTTTCTTCTTCAGAATCTTGCTCTGAGAGCACAACTATGAAACTTCTGACGTTTGGAACAAACTTGACGTACGCGTCCTCTCAAGGTCATAGTTTACAGCAAGCGTTCTACGATTTCACTTTATAACAACTATAAACTTAATAAGTTGGGAAGCATTTTGCGAACCAACAAATGTTGTAATTTATAGATCATGCCTGTAAAAACGGTGTGTACCTGCACATGCAGAAATATATTATTATTATTATATATACATAGTGAATCTAGAATAATTCCGAGAAGTTAATTCATTTAAGTGTAACAAAAGATAGTGTTTGAATTGCAAACTTTGAATGTGGGAATGATATTTATTCAGAAGGAAAGGTGTGATAGAGAAAAGAAATAAACAACCAGTGTTAGGGTTTAACTATGATAATAAGAGTGTAACGAATATCGACCTCTGGAGTAAACCATTATTTTTTAAAGTTTTCAGTACACTCAGGTGACTACATGTAAAGTTATGTAATGGGATAGAGCGTAAAACATGTATTAGTATAAACGTTTGTGAAATAATAAGTTATAATAATGCCATGAAGACAAATATTTTTATACGCACAGTTCTGCCTGCAGCAAATGGATAGCAAGAGCCTCTGCTATTTCCAGAAGTTATGCACGAACATATCTAAGTAGATTTAGACGAATTATATGAACGACCTTAGATTCAATCTGTGGAATGATTAGAGTTGGTTAACGTTGATGAATGTAACTTCTAACTGCTTCTCTCTCATCCTTGTAAGACCACATTGAGATATGTTCCCAGATCTGAGTGAAAGCAAGCTCCGGCTACAGCCTATGTACCCTACTTTACAAGAGCAGGTGAACTAGTAGATACACATAAAGGTTATCAGATGAAGAAACTCGTTCATCACGAATGTAGAAAACGAGCTCCCACTAGCGAATGTTATTCGCAGTCTTGCAGCGACGAACGCTCTTCTTATCGTCGCCATCAACCGACTTTTAATAACATCAGAAGTTTGGTCACCTCTAACTTATAAATTCACATAGAGATATTTCCGGACTCCTTGTTACCATTTCTCATGTTCTACATGAAGCGGCTCGCACAGCCGTTTTCAGACGAAGTTTTTGCATACTAACTATAAGGCACTGAAACCAAAATCTAATATCTATCAGTAAAAGCTGCCTTTTCCCACTCAATATACCGATACTTTTCAGAGGCTAATTTCCTCTATATCTAACTCTAATAAATAGTATCCCGTCAAAAGAGTATTTAATAAAGGCTAAATCTCCTATTAAAATTGTGGATTAACCCGAGATTGTTCAAAAGCCTGAACAACAGTTGTAGAGATAATTTAGGTGTTAAAGATTAGCAAGATCCGCGACCGTGCAGGAAACAGGCATACAAGGAAACGAGTACGTTTGTGTTAAAAATGCATAGGTATTTATGAGTTTAATGGATTGCGGATAAATGATTGATGGCCTGTACTTAAAACTAATGAGAGAATAGATCAGACACGCGCTCAGTCACACTCACACATAATTTTACATAGTGGATTAAGTGTCTGAATTACATTGGGCAGATAAATAATTCAACAGTTGAATAGGGTTACTAAAACTTCAAACTGTCGCTGCTGAAGCATTTAACTGCAGATACAATTCCCCTTCTATTAGGGTAAAAATGGAGTGATGGGCTTCAAAGAGGATATTCGCAGTCGGTAGTACTTAAGCATACTGATGAAACGAACATACAGTAGTTACTGGAGGTAGTGTCCTGACAACTTCGGGATCATGTGGTTTTACTATCTCACCACCAAAAATCACACTACAGCCATTTACCTGAGAAATGCAGTCAATAAAGGTGAGATTTTACGTAAATCCATCGAATGAAGAAAGAGATTTAACCATGCTGAAGTGGGCATGCCAATCAACTATAAGCAGCGCAGAGCTTGAGATAAATGTCCATAGGTCAGGGTGTCAGCTTTATATCAATACAGTCAAAGAGAAATATCAAGATAAAAATGCCAGAGACACTTAAGCGGTAGCGGTCTTCCAGACTACAGATACATTCGAATCCATCACGGGGTGATGCAAACTTTTCCACGGGTACTATGGCGTATCTCCACTTTCTCATTTTCTGAGAGCAAAAGCAACTTAGAAAATATCGTTGTAAATACCTCTTCATGTCAAGTCACATAAATGTGTGCAGATGATCAATATCGGCTGCATGTCGCCTAGTCTGCATTGATATCACGTCTCCTGGGTAAATCCCAGCCTAGATTGCGCTGTCGTGCTATCCCCTTCATCCTAATGCCTTGGCAATTACGTTAGTTGAGAGGAATTCCATTTAGCCCTAGATAAATCACCGTGCATGTAGGAAATGTTCACCGACCCTCGTCACGTTCAAGAAAAACCAACCAGCAAGTCATGGACCAGTCTAAGCGGTAGCTTCAGCATTACGTATATTCTACGTATTTCTAATAATATATTTCTATACTAGTGTCGTCTTTGTCCTATGCGGTCATCGAAGTATCCACAGTGTCTGAATAAGACGGAAGGGCAAGAAATGTCACGTTTTAACCGCGAGATGTTACTACCATGAAAGACAGACGCTCATGCCACTCCTGAGAGACTTGCGAAGGCCCCCAATCAGGTACATCAATCATCTACATTGGTGATCTAAGACTACATGTAATAAATAGGATTTTAACGAAAAAATCGAACACACAAACCGATTGGGTTTGTATAGAGTGGAAACACTGATATGATGTGGGATCGCCGAATTCATGATTGTAATCCTTCAGTGTGACGAAGTTTGGCAAACTATTCAACGTTTATTGACATACCGATTGACCTAGAAGGGGTTTCGCTTGATGAAACATTTTCTAAGAGTTCAACATTACCTCATTGGTCTTACACTTGTTGTGTAGAATCTATGTAAAATACTTTTGAACTTGATTATAGAGATGCAGCTTATGCTCAAGTTGTATGGATTGGGACCGCCGCAAGTTTCATGAATATTCGCACAATATCATGCAGTTTTCTTATTTCATGTTAGTTCATCCATTAAAAACTCATGTATAATTCATTTTTTATATTCTGCTATTCTGCTTTAAGACGAGGAACGGCATAACTCTCACTTAATCAGTCAGATGCCAATACAAAAGATATCATTGCCTAATCAAAACAGTATAGTGAGCCGAAAGTGAAAATGAAGATAAACTACGGAGCATAAAGCGAACAAATTATTCAATTTTACTATTGCAGTCATATATCTCAACAAAAAACGCAGTACTGAATTACATGATTGTCTATTAAAGATATGTTAGTGATTTCAACAAAAAAAACAGCGGAAATATTCAGCAACTTCTGAAACTCTTAAAATCCTACAGATTTTAGTTAGTTGGTACTGGCTGGAAACAAAAAGTTACTGAACAAATTCTGATAACATTGTTTGTATTTTTCGAAAGATGTAATTCGTTGCTATTCTTTTTTTCAAATTGCTCGCAACATGTGCGAGGTAGATGTGAAAATCATCAAACGAACTCAAGAAACCCTTGGAAAGTTAATCAAAAAGCCAGTCCTTACTGAAAAACTTTTGTCAAGACCTCCATTTAGATTTCTTCACGATATATGTACGTCAGTGAGTAAACAACTAGATTTGTATTGTATAATTCTTTAAGGTTATTAGGTCGACAGGATTAATGAAGGGTTTATTTAACTCAGAAGAGTTGGAAGCTGATAATGTCAAAGACAAAGACAAAAAGTTGGCATTTCTTCAAAAGTTGGTAGATTTCTTGTCGGTAGTGCATGAACGAACTATTCCTGTCAGAATAATGAGCATTGTTGCTGGTAAGGAGGCTGAGAAAACGAATGAGATGCTGTTCTTACTAGCTGAAGCTGTCAACAAAAAGGTTTGATCAAATAACTTATGATCGTTTAGATCAACAACGAAGAATATGTTGCCCAAGTTCTCCAAGGAAGTAAAGTCGATGATGTTAAATCAAGTGCTGTTGGAAAGCAAGTATCAGAAACTAAGCATTCAAAAAAAAAGCCTGGTATGGAGTCAAAGTTCGTAGATCATCGAACAAAGGTGACTCAAAGTCACCGGAAAAACAAGTCAAATGGGGAAAAAGTAAATGAAATTGAAAACAAACTTTTCGTTGATAATAGTAAAGGTATACATTTTGCTTGTTGTATGTGAATTAACAGGGGTGCTCTAGTTGAGATAATGTCTTAACTTGCTTAACTTATTTTCTTCATGCATCAATCAGCCTAAAATCACCAAATACTTTACAATTTAGTTCTGATATTTTATACTTATGTTTTGAATCGTAGTTCATATGGCACAAAGACATTCGAAGTACGTTGTTCAAAAGTATACTGAACAACAATCAGATTTACATTTGTTCTCTCAAAGCCGGTTGGAGGTATGTGTTAGTATTTTACTGGTATTTTATGCATGTGCCCACTCTTGAATAAAGGTGCAATTTTATCCATTAGTCGATTCGAACAGTTTACTTTTCTGTCAAAAAACCTGTTTACTACTTATATTTTTTACGGTTTTTAATCTTGCCCGCTAGTGTAAAGAAAAACAGATGTATTCAACCCGAAATTCTTTCTTAGTATACTGTGAGTCATCCTAAAGTCTTTATATAATCTACGGCAATACTGTGTCAAAGGTCAAAATTTTCCAACCAGTCGTTACAAAACAAATCAAACGCTTTTTGACACCACGCGAGTAATGTTCCTCTCCCATAATACCAATCTATAATCATAAATATACCCTGGAGTAGGTTGACTTTTCATTAATTTGTAGCAGAAATTGACACCACACAGTCTCTTCACAACCTGTAATGTACCGTTTTATTCTCTGGTGCGGTTAGACTAGTGGTGATGAGCCTGGTAGATCAGATGCCGTTAATGGTCAATTTGAGACAATAGTGTCTTTCAGTCACAACCATATCACGAAAGATAACCAAATGTCTTTACCGTATAAAATAAAATTTCAACTTCACATAAATATACCCCAGAAGTTACGCACAAAGTTGAAATTTCCGGAAATTTATCTCGCTTGATCTAATTTATGACTTGAAATTCGATCAAACTTATCGGTTTTAATATTTATAAATTAGTGAACATTATTTATTGGTTTATTCTAAAAATATCAGTTTCGTCGAATAACTGTTACATTTTAGTAGTTATCTCAAACATCATTTTTCCAGCACTTTGTTTATTTGCAATATATTGCTGAATGCCTCAAATCCACTAAAAATAGAGGAATTACAAGCGTAAATGTATAATATTGTTCGTGTTGCTTTGGTCCCTTGTTAACGGTTATATGTTATCTTAATTGATTAACACCAGACTATGCTATAACGTCAAAGAGGACCATCTTGAAGTCGCTTCAGCACACATTTTTATAGGTATTTTTCGATCCATGCAAAAGTAGGGTGTTATCTTCTGTTATGCTGCTTCTCTAACAACACAAATGAAAGCTGAGCGAGTAATTTTGAAGCCTCTTAGACTCCATCTGTCTAATTTATGTCATCTACATCGTAAGGAGAAGTCAGACTACTAGTTCAGTATACTTGATAACAATTACAACAGACTATGTAAACACAATGTAAAACTTTCTTGCAGTTCAATCAGTTACCAAACTATATATACTGACTAAGATCTTGTATTGATGTCATGGTATATTAATTTTTAAAAAGTGCGTGGAGTCGATTAAACTGCCAGGTTATTCAACACATTTATTTACAGAGTTAGACCTTCTTCAAGTTTTGTATGACTTTTGCCAAACAGATTGTTTATATAAAGGCTTAAAAATGATTTGAAGTTGTACTGTCATTTGTTTAGAGTGACTATAATTTCTATACAATCATCAACTTATAACTAAATTATAATTCCTCCGAATACAAAGTATAAAAAGTATTTAGAAGTCTCCTTGTCAAGGGTTTTCCGTTTAATTCAGCTGCATAAAAACATTTTCATTTTGAAACTGAATAAAGTTTCCCGACATAAAAAGGAGTTTGCAATTCTGACACTCAAAATTAGTCCATTTACATTAAAACTGGATGGCGGACGGACGACCTTGTCTAACTGTACTCCCAGTGGTTGGATTGTTTAAACAGAGTTGAAATTTTGATAATTTAATATATTATTTATAAAATTCTTGACGTTTAAAACTGGGTATAATTTAATAAGTCAAGTATGCTTATGTATTTTTGTGGGAACACTAACTTTTTGAATATTCCAGGGGACATAAAATAGCATCCAAACAGCACGCCAGTCACTAAAAGAATGTGGGAATGTCACACAGTATTTCACGTTGTAGGCTACTTTAAATTGACTTTTGTTTTGATGCGATTCTTATATTTTGCATGTAAAAGATTATTAATATGTAATTGAGTAGGTTTATGAAAACACTGACCTAGGTACATCATAGGAATTGTAATGCATCTCGTGCTATTTTTAACCGTTTAAGAGGACGACTTTGTGATACATTGTTGCCTTCAGTCATCTTTATCCTATTGCTTCTGTCTCAGCGCTAAACGTCTGTCTTACTGCTGTATTTAGCAGAAATAAAGTGAATTAGCCTTATTTACCAAACCTTAAATGGATTTAGATTGATAACTGTAATAAAAATTAACATCCGCTATCTGCTATTCGTTTTTTACTATTTACAATTAAACAGATAAACTGAGGACTCTTCGTATCGTTCTTTTGAAATATGGAATTCACACACCTATTCAAACCTAGGTTAGTTTCTGAAGGTATAAACCAGAGCACCCATATGACAATCAAATGGTCATTATAATCCCATTAATTGCTTTTCACTTATGTATGTGATAAGTTCTGAGCTTTTATCCATGCAAGCAGTTTTATATATACTCAACTTTTCATGTGTCCTCATGATCTTATTCGTGCACTGAATTTCTGCATTGCCTACACTTACTCAACAATTGATTTGGCGATTAATTAACATATCAATCCCCACGTAGATACGATGGATTCCAACGTAAATCGACATCACAATCAATTCACTTTGTGTAAAATATATATATTCCCAACACACTGTGTATTAGACTACTTTATATTGCGTTTTCGTTTGAATTTCGACTACACAACAAGCATAGCCAAGGAAATATACAAAATTAACGAGAAACTATATCAAATGGGAGCCAAAACTAATTAATAAGAGACAGTCATGTTCTAATAACAAAAAGAACTTACTCAGGCAAGATATATTTTCACAAAACTTTTTAAGGTAGGTTTAAACTGGGAAAATCTCGCTGAAAAATATGTTCAAATTGATTGAAGTGGTTTCTGCATTTTGTTTGTTCATGAGAACGTTTTGTTTGTTTTAGGACTCAACAGACCTAGTTAATGTAGAAAAGTGTGGTAGCGCGAGGGAAAATCATCTGTTTCGAGATTCCGGAAGTCGTGCTGGCAGTCAATGTGGTTTACAAACACCGGAAAAATCGCAAGAGGAAATCGTTGCTCCTTCCCTCCAAAATTCTGAAGCATCAGTCTTCCAACCTCGACATCACAGACCTGCATCCGCCAAAGGACAGAGGGTGAAAAGAGATGGTAGTTGTTTGACATCATTTTGTTTCTACGTATTTTAATCACGACCTCTTGATGACTAATTAACCCGAATTTCTGGATCATCATAATTAATCTTAAACGTTTACAGATCATATACGAACTAATATAAGCGAAGAAATTTGTTTTAAATCATGTCTTCATCAATAGTGATATCACTACCGGTACACCTACCATCTTAATGTGCATTTATACTTTTTTACATACCATATTTAGCTGTACAGTCTATTTCATTATCAACTCAACTTGCGGTCACTGGTTTAATAATTTTCACATATGCGTATGGGTAATTCCGTAACTTACATTGAAACATGAAGATCCAATTGAAAACGATATTTTTCGCTTATATGTGTCGTTCTAGTTAACAGTTTCCTAACTTCTACTACTATAAATAATAATAGATACTCCCCTAGAATCATTTAATCTTAAATAATGTGATGATATATTCCAGTATCTAACAGGTTAAATTGAGGTATTAGGTACTTGGCTTCTTTCAGTTATATTCTAATCAGTCAATTAGTTTGAATAGGGCTATTCATCAGTCAAACCAATCTTACTAGTTATAAAAAAATGAATTAATATGGTGCAGAAATCTTTCAGACTAGACTCGATGCTCAGCTTTTCTTTACTACTAAATCCATGCCGAAAAAAGACGAATTATAGGAAATCAATTGGTTTCATTAAGGTCTTAAATTGTTTTACTTATTTGTGTAAACTGTTAGTTGATATTTAAACCAATATATAGTCTTTGATAGGTTGTAACTGGATAAAGAGGGTTGTTCTCGAATAGAATATACCGTTCAAATGCATGACAAATGATTTTAGATAATAACGCCTACTTTAAAGACAATCCTATCGAAGCTTCATAATGAGCTATGTACAGTGATAAATAATTAGAAAGCGGACCAGTGTTATAAGATATCAACTGATTTAGTAAATTTCCAAAGTGATTAATGTGTCCGAACCGAGAACTTGTCGATTGAATCGACCTTGAATCCCATGAATAATAGGCTTCAGAAAACTTGAGCACTTGGACATAAACTATTGATAATTATTTGTATAGGTTTTGCGGAAATATCTATATCCGAAGTGATGCTTATCCGTTAATTATTGTTTAATCTTGTCAGATGTAAAGATGTCAACCGATCAACAGGATAGTAAACGTGAACCAACTGAAAAGTAAGATAAAATATTTTAAAGTTTTTAAAAAACATCGATTTTATACCTTTTAACTAAATTATCTTGGTAAAGCAATAAGTTAGTCATCTGTATTTTATTGAACTACGGATTGAGCAGATAGTTTACTAATAAAATGATCTGGATGTTCTCGCTAATGATTGAACATCATTTTTAAAATATTCATTATGAAGAAGTTGGTCAATATCAAACCAACATCTTTGCATATATATGAAATATAATTAACTTCGAATCACCATTTCAATAAGTGAGAAACATTCAATGAAGTAAACGGCTTATTTAGACTGTTAAATTTCATAAATTACATAAGCAACTTAGACAACTAATGAAAAAAATAAAATACGAGACAGTTGGTTAGTGCTAGTAGTTAGTTTATCATTATTATTATTACTATTATTATTATCAAACAATATGTTAGACTATACAGCATCAATAATTGTATTGTTCGATACTGTCGAGACAGTCGATCAACATAATATTTTACGTATATGTTAAAAATAATACAAGTTTATGGTAGAGAAACTTTGTACTGTTCAGAATATTATACTTATATAAGCTAAGTAATTTAAGTTTTTGAGTTAAATTTGTCTGAAAAAATTAGAGATGAACTACATTTTAGATAAGTTAAAATGATTTCCAAATTGCTCTACTCTTCTTAACAATCCAGTTTAATTAAGATAATTAATACCCAACTACCGACATTATTCAGAAGTGCATATTTAACACTCATTTAGTAATATTAAACTAAAAAATAATCTAGAATAAGTTTTGATTACTGTAATGATTGAAGTATCCTAAAAATTTATACTTTAATTGTCAAAAGATATAATCTTCATTATTACACTCAAAATCGTCTCTATTGAGATGGTTTGTTTGCTGAAGTATATTATGCTTTCAATAAGTTTTCTGTCAACTGTTACGGGAGGTGAAAAATTGTTCAAATCATTTTTCATAAATAGAAGATATTAATTTAATACTTGAAGCTAGATTACCATGAAAAACTTGGAAGCACTAGACGACCGTTTCGTCGTTTTATGGGACTCCTCAGCAGTGCGCACCCACGAACCCGTCCCGCTAGATTTGAGTCTAGGGCATATCGATCGCAGGCAAACGCTTAACCTCCAAATCACTGAGCCGGTATCCAACGGTTTTGATGCCTAACTTCAAGCAATGCACGAAGTTGCGCCGCCATCCATCATTGTCTTCAGTGAGTTACTATCTCACAACAGACCCGGTTGAACTCCAGTGGTTACTGCTTTTCACTATAACTCCACGAAATACCTATTGTTGGGCAAATGATGATTATAACCAGTGCTTTCAAGTTTTTCATGGTGGTCTAGCTTCAGCTAACTCATGAATTCAACTATTAAATTACTATAGTACTCCCGAATCCCTTTCTGGGAAGACATTAATTCGATGAAATGGCTTATTTTCAAGTATTCTAAACTCCAATAAATTATTGTCCTTAAAAAGTTTGGTTTCAACAAAGACTACAAATTTTTTAATATAAACATTTATAATAATAAAATATATTATTTATTATTAACATCCAGCCCAATCCCCCATATTATTTAAAATTATAAAGCTCAAGCTTAGCAATAAGACTTTAAAAAAAGTATTTGTGTAGTTGTTCGTCAGTAAACATAATATACAAAGAGTAGAAATTCTCAGGAGAATTCCTTATCATGAGTCATAGCCATTATGATAATAAACACAAATCAAGTAAAGGCAATTTAAACGACAGACAGTATAAAATAAGGAAATGAAAACAAAAAATGGATCAGAGCCACTTAATATATGAGTTTTAAAGGAAACTAGGCGTTCAAGGGAAGATTTGTATTATATTTCCCAGTTTTACGGTTAACAAGCAAAGTGATTTTACAGTTTAGAACCCTAAACTGCGAGTGCTTTGTTAGCACATCAATATCTTTTTGGAAGTTATTTCAAACTCTTAATCATTCATTTACGGATTGAGTTTTAGACCAGGAACTAAACATAAAATTACACATTAAGATTATGGAATACATAAACTTCCACTTTTAGGATTACCTTATAAGCCTAGGGAATAATAAAACAGCTCCGAAATTTTAGGTATAAAATAATTTCTTAAGAGGTTCCTCAAATGATTTACCAGAAATATTAGTGACTATATCGCCTTCAGAGTTTAATTTTGATTTTGTATATATAGTTTGTGATAGAAAAATACAAAACTCAACACATTATTTGTCAAATTTTCTTCACATAAATTGCTTTTTGTTAGCTCAAGATCGGTACCACCTCGCCCAAGACGTTCTGGAGATTTTATAATTGAAGATAATCACAAGTAAGCGCTCGGTCTTATAAATGAGATATTCAGCATTGGATTTTGTTTAAAACGTTTAGGTTTTTTAGGTAAGTTATCTTGAATTACTTCAAAAGATTCGCAAACTTTCTGTTTTAACATCAAATTTAAAAGAAGATAACTGTGCAGTTGAAATTTCTGATGAACGATGAATAACAAAACTATAATTTATGGACGAAGCAATCAGATCTAAGATTTTAAATTTTAGCGCGAAATTCCTCCATTCACATGGCTAAATTACATTTTTTTCACTGTTGCTGTTATCATTTTATAATGAAGACCTTTATTCTGCATCATAATCCTATCTCATAACTCTAACTTCAAGTTTTGATTCCTCACACTAATTTATAACCTTATTTAAACTGTAATAAGTGATTGAAGTTTCCAAAGAATTCTCTAGTATCGCTCAAAAGTCGTCCATAAATTATCATCTTGCCGCAAAAACTAATTAATTCGTTTATGAAATTGAGTTTATTTGCATTTGAATGATTCATTATTTCAATATAATCACTTGACCAATTCCCGTGACCCCATAGGCTTATTTCTCCATAGTTATTGAGTTCAAATGATATTTTTAAAATAACGTCTTCGATTTTTATAAGTCTACTTTTTTTGTCAGTTACATACGACTTTTCCCTGCTCATTTTAAAAATATTTTCGTCACATAGAAAAAATGTTAGATTGATAAGGTTTATTAATCTATCTCGGTCACTAATTATGTTGCACATTTTTAATGTACATTTCTTTTATTTCAAAGCTCATTTATCCCAAATTGAATCTGTACCTGCTTCGATACCGTTTTTGTAGTATGTGATTATTTCAATGTTATCGTAGTTTAAATTAATTTGTGACCTAGTATACTTTAGGTTGAAATCCCTTTCAAAATATTAATTTTAGCAACGTTACTAATATACACACTTTACTGATGAGCGCTAAATGTTATCAAAGAAATTCGAACACCATTCTCCGACTGCTTTTCAATACTCAACACTATTTGTTTTCTTCAAAACACTTTACCTATCGTCTACTACAAATTTACTTTTTCTGCTGATGTTAACCTTTGTATCATTTATATATATGGAAACGGTAATTCCTTTCGATAACTGATGTAGATTCTATTCATGTGTGATATTCACTCAGGCTATTAATTCTAAAAAAATATAGATTCCATCAGTTTATCGTTTCCGATTTACTAGTTGAGATTTGATCTTTGATAACGAAGAAATTAGATAAGATGCTTAATTGCATATTTTGGATAGACTATAATACATTTAAATAAGAAATTCTTTAAGTTTCATTCTTCATTGAAATAATTCAGTAATTTGTTCTCTTAACAAGTTTAATTATCTTTCTACACACAATTAGTTTTAAAACGTTTTGAGACAACATTTATTTCTGTGTAATTAGGATACTATTTTGAATTTATTTTGTTGTCATTGATCCGATCAACAATTTACTGTTCTCTAATTGGCGGTATAATTACGCAACAAGATACAACATTTTTAAATGAGGATTGTCATTTTATTTTTCTATATTTTAATAAAATTATATTTTGTTGTCTGTCATAATGTAGTTTAATTTCAATTTTTTTGTCTCATTCCCCATATAATATTTAGTTGCTTAGCTACATTTAAAATTCTTATTTTTGTTTTTATAGCATTGACATTACATAATAAAAGGAATGTATAACTCCTAAATTTGATTTCTTTTAATACTACTGCTACTACTACTAGTGGATTCCTTAAATGACAAGAATCGAGATCAATCATTGTAGTGTAGATATATTCGTTCTCTATCCTTCTCTAAATTTAACATCTCAACATAATCACTTTTTTTTCCAGTTTTCATGAATTCTTCTGAGAATGCTTTTTATGCCTAGTTTTTTTTATTATGAAATTCGATTATCTATTCCTATTGTAGTAACCGTCTAAAATGTTTGAATTCATCACAAAGCTTTTTAACAGCATAGTTAAAATAATACAATTCAAACCATAAATCTTAATACATACAATTAGATCAAAGAAAAACTATATGTAAATAAATTTTTTATAAACAATATAAATAAACTATTATTATGCTTTTTTATCAATTAGACAAGTGAATATGACATGTATATCTGGACTTATTATTTCTGATTCACAACAAGATACAACTGATGAAGAACACGATGATGATAATAATGATGATAAGAAATTTGTTAGCGAAGAAACTCCTGGTAATATATCAGCTAATATTTTAACAAAACAATGGGATGAAACTGAGCCAGAAGATAATCATGAACATGGTAAGCTTATTTATCATGACATAAACATAAATTTTAAAAAAAACTACCCGTAAAATTATCATCAACCACAGAAAAGTTTTCTAATACCCATTAATTTCTTCACTTGATAATGGCTGTGACTGACAACATTTTAAGGTATTATTAGTTAAAGTTGTAAGCTTTGTTGTCTGTTGATTTCCTCAGTTTAATCAGATACTAGTTGAACATCAATAATTGATGGAAGAACTTCAAAAATTACTTATTTATTCTTCTGTAAAGAATCAAATTAGAAAACTGATTTTAAAAATTCTCTTCATGAAAACTATCTTTCAAGTAGTTTCATTGAAATGTCATACATACTGATAATCACTCTTTTCATTTCCGAATGTATTGGTTTGTTTAATATTTGTGTTGAAATTTTATGTATATACTAGAGTAACGTTTATAATTCTACGGGAAATTTAAATTCATTATCAGAATTAAAGTAAATTACTACTTAAATCAAATCTCTGCTTAACGGTTATCAAGAGCGTTTTAAACAAAGTCTAATAGAGATTCAGTTTTCCCTTTTGAATATACGACTAAAATAGACAACCCGATTAGATATAAATTCACATTTAACTTTGTTTTTTCATTTTTGTTTATTTTAAGTTGTTACAAATAACCCTCGTTGTAAAAAAGTAAGATACCGTCATTTTTTAAGATGGTGGTCGGAAGTAGTCAACAGGAAACCCTGGACCCGGGTTTCGTGCTACTTGGCACTCGTCAGCAAAGTGTACCTGTAATCTTAAGGGATCTGGTGGGCTGTCCGGGCCGCGACCGACCTTCTGTAGGACTGAGATGTAATCACAATTGGTTGGTCACTGGTGATGATCAATCAATTGTTATTACATTCTTTTTTTACTTTATCAAATAACAACCTATACCCAGTAGTACCATTCGATTAAACCTAAAATCACTCGCATAAAGAGCTTCAGTCTTTCTTAAGATAATTAATTTAATATCCAACATGTTTATGTAGGCATCATAGTGATCATGTCTTGGTAAATGAAAAATGTAAATGAGATTCTTTCTTTTTATGTTAATATTCAACAATACTAGGTGGTTTAGTCACTAAAATATTACAGACGAAAAAAGAATATGAAAATGTCAATACATTGAATAAAGAAAGTTTAAAAGTACAGGTTTGTTATCTCTATTTTAGTTACAACTTAAATATAATTCATTTTAATTTCTTCAAGTAAAATTATTTTATCGTTTAAAGTAATTGATAGTTAGTAAAACATCAAGTTTCTTTCAACTTATGCAAGGAAAACGAGTGAAATTCGATATCATTTCCATTTGAATGATTCAAATATAAAATGAATGTATTTCCAGTTTCTGACCATTAAAACATCTTAGTTTAAAAACGGTACATTTTCTAATCAAGTCAAAACATGCAATCTTGAGGCTTAATTGACAAATATGTTTCCAGTTTTGCCTTATTTATTTAAAACTGGGTTTATTTTTAATCTATCATGTATTTTATTTTCAAACAAATTGATATGTGATTATATAGGTCTTATCATCCACCATATGTAATTAAGATATTAGACTATCAAAAACCCAAGGTTCCTCATTTACAAACAGCATTGATATTAGGTATTAATTATTCCATATTTTATTCATGCTAGTGTAAAGCTGTGAATTTATCACTGATCAATTATCTGTCTTAAACTGGATTTGCTCGAAGCTTTACAGTTTTACAAGTTAAGCAATCCATGCGCTATTGATCAACTATTCATTCAGTGGCTTAATAACTGAAAATACATTTTCGCAAGTATGCAACTTGATTGTTTATTGGTCACTGTTAGTCAACCTGCACATAATATCGCCAAGACGATATTTATGGACGAACCAATCACGCATAAGATAACTGGTCACGGATTTCGGCGCGAAATTCACCCATACATCTAAATACATAGATTATAACTGATATCAGCTCGTGATGAAAACCCGAAATTTAATTCCTAAGCTTAATCGTCAACTGTAAATTATAATTATAATTTCATACACAGGTTCATAACCCTCATTTGGTCCTGGTTATTAATCAGACACTCTCAAGGTCAGTCTAGCGTCGCCCAAAGGTCGTTCATAAATTATCGTGTCACGTTATTATCATAAGCTTTACTCGGGATTATTTTTTTGGTACAATAGCGAAGTCACAGCACAAAGTATTTCAAAAAGTTTCCGTTTCTTACTTGTTGGTCGATCGTGACGATAAATGCTAAGTGGTCGTCAGTTGGAAGTGCAGTAAATGGATATCTAAATAATGTACATTCTTTTCGTTGCATACTGCCAGCAACCACGATATCTCTGATTGGGCCACTTGTAACTTGTACAATGAAAGGTTGTTCACTTTATAGAAACGCACCTGAATATGTTATGCGATTCATAACCATAATGATGCATTAAAACAAACAAAATTGGATAGCTTGTTGAAATATTTAGATGGCAGGAACAAGTGGCCCAGATGTTCATCTAATTGATATAACTGCTTGATGTTTTATTCACTTCAATTTTACATACAAATTCACTTGGTTAATTACATATCTGAAAGATTGTTTTATAGTCTCATTTTCTCAACTATTTTAATTTAACACAACTGGCAGCGGTGTTTTTGTAAATATCAATAATTTTCCTGGAAATTTTTGATATTTCTAGTGATTTTAATAACTTAAAGTGGTTTTAAAATGTCAGATATACCCAAAGTATATTTATATTCATAAAAACTATTCTTCAAATAAATATCAAATTCCTAATGAAATCTTGATAAACTACTTATTTGGTACATTTCTTCACATCTACATAAGTTAGATAAAGAAAAAGAAATTAGAGAACATAATCTTATTACATCTTAGTACGTTGTCTTTGTTACTATGTACCAGGATTAAATTTGATTTTTTAACACAATAATCTAAACTAAGTGATGGGACTAAAATCGCTTCATATCTTTCTGCGTACTAATTCTTTCTTCCTGTACTATATCTTTATATACAATCTTTCTTTTATATATTACCACCATTGAATTAACTACTTATATGAACCGAATGTTCATCTTGCTGTGCTAATGTGGTATGGCAACTTGGATCAATGCATATATGTGCCTAGTTCTACGTTGTAGCTGACTGACTTAATCGATGAAATTCACAAAGTTTGATCAGTTGAATGTTTATGTGGATCTCTTCCAGAAATTGTGAATTTTTATAAAAAAACTCGATTTTCGGTGTTGTGATGTTTTATGGTTTACACATGTTTACTGTATAATTTATACTATTAGTATCGGCTACAGATTTCAGAACCACGTCTAACGGTTTTATTAGTTTATGCTAATGTTATTGATGATATGTTAGTTTTCTTAAATTATTTACTATCATCATTTTCAGTTATAAGTTGTTATTAATTGTTTTATTAAACTGCCATTTAATCATTTGACTGCAAGAACTAGTTATTAACGATTGTTAATAATTAGAAGTGTTATCCAATCATTAAGTCTTTTATTATAAACACCAAAAAACAATAACTTTTCTTCTCTCAATCAAACCAAATGATTTATTTTATACACATTTTATTCAATAAAAGTCTAGCGGATTGAATGAAGCAGCTAAAGAACGTGAGAAAGCTTTATTAAAAAAAGAAATTAATCGTTTATGTGATTCACTGCAAACACTATCCCGTTCAGCTATTCCATTGAGTAAACTGATGGATTTTGTTCAAGAAGATTTAGAAACAATGCAACAAGAATATGAACGTTGGAAAACTGAAAATCATATACTTAAATCTCAATTGAAACAACAGGAAAAGTAAGCGTTAGTTTCATCAATATTCTGCTTTCAACTATGATCATTTAGCGTAAACTGTAAAAAGTAAGAGTCAATAATGTTATCCAGAAAGATAATGAAAGCTCCTCAAATCAGCCACGTAACTCAGAGTACCCAAAAATGTCGAAGAACTCATTTAAGCTACGAATCTTTTTCATTATATATATTTAGTGCTTATGTAAATGCTTGGTTAAGTATAACCTCTGTTTTGATGACATACTGATTCAATTTAATTCTTAATAACAAAAATGCAAACTCTCAGATCAATTTATTAGTTTTTGAAACTTCATTTAATTTATCAGATGTTAATTAATAACAGAATTTGATTAAATATTTACTATAACATTTAATCAACATAAAACTGCTTAGTATACTGTTTCCCAAACAGAGATTTCATTTTAAGCTTGAGGTATTACTTACAATAAATCATCAATATTAAAGTTGTAAGCATAAAACTAACACAGAACTTAATAATTCCCAATATGCTGAGTAGAGTGTGTAAAACGTCGTGTATATATTCAGTGTAACTGTTAAAATAGAATTCTTGTATCTTTGATTTTTTAATGTTTGGAATGGATGTTAGCAGATAATTTTAGTTGCTGTGCTTTAATAAAGTGAACAACCGTTTTATACATAATATCAATAATAACCTAGTTTAGATTTATATTTTCATAAATGCAACTGTATATATTACTAAGACTTTAAATAGCCTAATACAGATAAACCATATCTGAAGGAAGAGAGATATAATGTTATTTATATTAATTGTAGTACATTAGGTAAATAGCAATAAGCGATAAATTGTTGTGTATTCTGAGAGTAGATTTCTACTTTATGTCTCTTATTCTCACCTACTAAGAAGATAAAATTTGGCTATGTTTCTTGGACGTTTTTACCACATTGAAATGTGAGCAAAGAAAAAGCTAAAAATTAAAAGGGCCAGGTACAAATTCATAGTACTGAGTGTACCAGAGTTTGACAGAATTCATGTTCATTACATAGAAAGATGGAGTTTTCAACGACACTTTCTTGTGTAAGACGGATGGCGTTGTCATAAAGGTAGACCTCAAGGTCAGCATTAATAATCACACCTAAAGAATTTCTGTGACCAGTAATAGAGTATTAAAAGCAAATAAAGATGATTACTCAAAAAGAGTGACACGTGATTGATTTGAATTAGTAATTGTTATATTAGGATGAAGATTGAAGGATTGGCAACTCCTGGAAGTAATGCATTATTATTGTTATCATTATTATGTATATTATTACTGGATAATTATTAGGAATTAAATTGCTATGTCTATGTATTTCGTTTATCTGAAATTTCTGGTGAATTTAAAAAACAAATGTCACACGAATTACTATTCCTGTTAACAGTCTCCCCTCTTCACAGACATTTTTGTCCTGTTTGTGTACGACTGTTATTTTTTATTTTATGATATAATGAGATCCGGTATTTCTGTATATAAACCACGTCTGTTTGAACTGAAGACTTAGTAGATGCTGATTGCTACGTCTGAATCCAACGTTAGGCATATAGCGGTGCTAGCTAACAGTGGATCAGCAGGAACCTAACTGTCGAGTCAAGGTCACTCGTGCTGGTTGGTTATGTAGTTAGGCAAATCAGAGACACTAGATCATAAACCAAATAACAGATCAAATTAGAAGTTGGTTTCGGATTAGCATCTGGGCACATGATATTGGTCACTGTCATTTGAAATAATGCTCTTCCACAGAGTGAGCAAATAAAAGATATTGGTTGTTCCCATACCTTTAACAGCACTTCAATTTATCTTGTTTTTCCAATCACTTTTTCTTCCGTTATACTTCTACAATGCTTCTAATTTAATGTCAGCCGTATTCTGTCTACATTTGTATTTGCAAAAGCAACTGATGCTTTTGAATCTAACTAATGGTTAGCCTAATGAAATCTCCTTTCGGACTAAATGGACGAGGGCATAACCCTTAATGTTCACATTCTGGGGATCAAGGGACTCAAATCCCAGTTGTTGTCTCATGAGAATAAGTAAAGCCCGTATGACCTATGGATAGTTATTTTGTGTCCTAAAGATGCTAAGACCTGAGGCATGCTAACTGTTCGTATTCATTTCTAGATTCATCATCTTAAACCGCATTACAGATCAATAGAAAACTCTCAGTCTTCATAAAGCATTCTACCACTTGTCGTTGGGATTGACTGAAATAGATAAATGAGTGCAATTTTTGTTAAAAGTTTATGCTTTAAAAGTGTATGGAGTACTTCGATTGCCGTGTGGAATATATTCCATTTCTACCATTGAAACTATTCAGATTTTGAGTCCTCATTTTCATAAACTAACACGTTATACTACTTAATAAGTAATAAAATGTTAATAAGGTGTTAAATAAACAATGATTCGACTCATTAAATAACACAATATATAATTCATCATTAATTCTGAATAAAAATACTATTTTACGAGTTATTTAATTTTTTTTTATTTGACAATATTATACTACATGATTACTTTATACTTTCAGTTTAACCCAAACATGTATAGAACCCTTGAAAGCTCAACTAGATGAATTAGAAAAATATGCCAAAGAAAAAGAGAAGTCTATTATTAAATGTAAAGCTAAAATATTTCATAACAATGAGCGTATACAAAATTTATTGTTTAAATCATTGGAAAAAGTCTTGTGAACAGTTATTTAAAATAAAATAAATAAATGAACACAATGAATTTTCATCTTAACATTCTGTTTCATCATAGTGTCGTATATATTTCCACAAAGTTTAATGTTATTTACTGAACAATTTATGAAAGTCAATCACTTTTTAAAAAAATATATATATAAACCTAAAGAATTTGGAGTTGGCTAAAAGATCTTACTCTCATCTAACCAACCGCGTTCATTTTATTCATCAAATAATTAAAAAGCATTTTCTATCAAGTAATGTTAAAAACTATTGATGAATGATTCGAATAAATTATGAGTTTCTTTGTTGATTATTTCAAGATATTTTATGATATAAATTACTTTGCGTTTTGTTCAAAGAATCTTTTTGTTGTTCATTTCAATTTAATTGATTGCTTTCCCTAAATCTTTATCTGCGATATATTTTTTGTGAGGTCGACTAAATTTGTTGTCTCATTGTTTTTCATCTTATGATGATATGTGTGATTTCACCGGAAAAAAAACAGTCTGTTTTATTAATTGAACATCGTTTTTTTGAAGGAACTTGTTAAACCAGGAGATTGGGATTTACTTTATCGATTTGATACATTTATTTTGTCATTCCACTGAAAATTGATCAACACCATTTGTTGGTGAAAACTTGTTATATCAAATAAATAATAATAAATAATTTTATGCACATACAAATTAAGGAGTTGGAACCGTAAAATATACTTTGAACGTAAAATTATTTAATATAGAAAACAGAAAACCAATTTTAAGATTTATATTTACTTAAACTTGTATGATATAAATTTTTGGAAGTATTCACTACTAACAAGCACCCATGAAAGAATTTAGGAAGCTCCAAGATAAAGGTATGGGACATAAGTTTGCTAATTACGCCAGTGACTAACATTCACTAGATATTTTACTCATTCCTATGTCCTTAATTTACTTCATAATTAGGTTGTTGATTTGATATTTGATTTGCTTTTACGTCCATCCAGTCTAAGCTTAAATCTATGTCTACTATGATGTATTTTAACTAACAAATCAGCAGTCATTGAAGTACTTCTAATACATTTGCTTTATTAAAAGAAGTACTGAATATGTGGAAAGAAATTGCTTCGTAATGTTTAAATGAAGCCTCTTAATGATTAATTGCATCACTAAATCTTTAGCAAAATCTTGTCACCCATTCCTGAAAGTTCCTTAGAAAGCTATCAAGTGCTGTTGAGACAAATCCCAGCGTTTATTAAAACGGTATACTCACCTTCATGAAGGTCATAAAACAGGGATAGACATAGGAATAAACACTATCTTGAATTGTGAAGTATAAAACTTCTTTTTCCCCTATTATATCAAATGGTTGTCAGTGAGAAGAACTTTTACATTCTAATCCAAAATCTAATTGTGAATGGGTGCACGTCAGACCCATCATAAGCTGCTATCCACTCAGTCAATTTTGGAAGAACATTATGGTTTTCCAATATTCTCGAAACTGTCATAGGCAAAAGAATATTTTATTCAACAGACAAAACGTGTGCCTTCGTATTGACCCTATTTTGACAATGATGACCGAACGACGCTAACAAAATATTGAGCTTATTTCACTCCTGAAATCTTCTATCGACTGATGAAATCGATGCAATGTATATCGAAGTCGAATACGGGTACTTTAGATACGTAAATTTGATGCATACAGATGTTCAGTGGCGGACAAAATATAATATATGTAGCTGAAGTATATGTAATGAGTTAGTAATAGATTATATATGTACTCAAGAAACATTGAGATGACTAATTTTTTAAGCCGTTTAAAAATACACGTAAACAGACATTATCAAATACATACGTATAAGGACTCTGAAGATTACAAACAAATAAATGAGTCAAGTGTATAGAATGACTAGTGGTATCCGAATGAATCGTCTACTAATAATCTAGGATAAGCTGATATGAACGTCATAACAGAAAAGCCCATATTGCATACTTCTATGTAGGCATAGAGCAGATTCTTTAATTACAGATTTCAAAATACACTCCAGTTAATGACAACACATATTTGCTGATGTGAGATCCAATCTTGAGATTATCAAGTAAGGAGAGGTTTGGTATAGTCGTGTTTTCAAATTCTGCATATCTGTCGTCGCTTCAAATCTATATTTTTGTGCAACATAACCTAAAAAATATGTTGTGAAATCCATTCTTTGTAGTTCGTACGAGAAAGTGTTAAGACGCAAATAACAGCCCCCTAATACGTTTTACACCCAAACAAGACATCATTGGACGGAATGTTGTCAGTGAATATTATCTCCACGGTTTAGTTGTAGAAGTAAATTTTCTTCAAGATGTTGGGCCGTGAATACTAAGTTACACAGATATCTAAACCATGATGATGTATAATAAACGAAGCCTCTTATTAAGATATTGAATATTTTGTATACTCCAATGCAACTATCAACTGCCACAGTAATCTATAACTAATTATGGGAGCACTTAATACAAGGGTTAGCGTGAACTAAAAAGATAATCAATGACAAATTCGGCGAGACTCTAATTTAGAGACGAGCCAATCAGAAGCGTTTGAGAAATTTCAATTATTAGCCAATCAGAAGACCGTTAGTATAAAGTAAAAATATATTATAAGAACGTAATGAATTACAGTGGATATTCTTTTTTTACATGATTTAAAAAGTTGTCAAGGTTTGATAAAGGTTCAGAGGTTCTGAATTCATAATGTATACGGTATAGAAACTCGTCCATAGGGCTAGGGTTAGTGTGAGGGTTTAGGGTTGTAGCCTCTCAATAATCACCTCTTCTCTAAAATCCGCTGAAAACCGATCGTATGTTAGCATTACGTGTTGAACTTGGCTTCGTGACCCTGAACCTGCTCAAACGCTTCTGATTGTCTCGTCCCTATATTTGAGTCTCGTCACCCTAACCTCAAACCCTAACCCTATGGATGAGTTTCTATACCGCATATATTATGAATTCAGAACCTCTGAACCTTTATCAAACCTTAACAAGTTTTTTAAATCATGTAAAAGAAGAATATCCACTGTAATTCATTACTTTCTTATAATGTATTTTTACTTTATACTGTCTTCTGATTGACTGATAATTGTCAAGGTCATTTAAGAAACGTTCAAAGGACGTCCCTAAATTACAGTCTCGCTGACATTTTTATGTAATGTGATGTCACAATTGCTTCCAACCCCTGATGCAATATCCATGATATATATATATATATATATATATATATATATATATAAGTCTTTTCTGTTTGTATCTCATCTGGTAATAACCCCTTGTTTCACCCAAAATCAGAATTCACTGTTTTCAGTCCCTTCATTTGTCTTTTGTGTCATTAGTCATTTTTATATTATTATTTACAAACAACTCGTACATGTGTAAGTGTTATGAAGAAACTATTAAGAATTTGTGGTGTTTGAATGAACTAATGATACTGTAGCGGTAAATAAATCCCCAAAATAAATAGCTCTGTAAGTTTTCGACATTGGATGCTGACCATATGTTTTAGTGGACTCATCTAGCTGAAGGCGCTCGGTCAGGCATCCGCACCAGATCACGTGTGGTAACGCCGTGCTCAACATCAACCGCAATCGCTAGCCAGATTAGATCAGAGAATTCCGATATATTGGTCATCGCCAAATATACTCTTCCGAACTCCTCGACTCTGTCTTTTGATTTCTCTGGGTGGGAACGAAATACATTAGGTGTTACTGATAGAAGCGTTGTCAAACACTGAATACACGTGACATCATCAATACCTTTGTACTTGTTGAATGCTTGATTTCGAATTCCAAATACAGTACATTCGTTTGTGGTCATCTAGTACTTCTTGATCCGATTACGTTATTTCTGGGATTCTTAGTTCATACTATAATTCAAATACTCCTATTCATCACATTGGCATCGCGATTGAACCTGTGATGGAACGGTTGGACATACATTCAGATCTTGATGCTTTTGAGGATTACTTTGAAGGGTTCGAAATCTGGGCTATGACCAAGGAAGATGATGAGGATGTTAATATTGTAGCACATTTCCTCACATTCATCGGAAAAGAAGCATATGGCTTATTCAAAACTCTGTCTATGCCGGAAAAGCCAATTTCGCTTCCTTATACAGCTGTCAAGGAACTACTGCTAGACTATGCTAAGTATACAAACTTCGATTGCGATAAAGGGAAATTTCGTAAAGTTATTCATGAGGATATAAAAAATTCCACTACATTACGTCATTCCAACCCAGTTCATACTCAAAGTTATGCAGATAATTCATTGAGGAGTTGCGATGCCGTTCGTGAAAATAGGCATAATTTTGGTGATTGTTTGTCCTGTGGCAAGTCTTACTCTTTTAATTCATGTAAATTTCGTAATTCTAAGTGCTTTAAACGTGGTGATATTGGACATATTCAGTCAGTTTCTAACACAACTTTTCATCTTGCTGCAACTAATATAAAGTCTTGTAATTCTGATTCTACTATGTAGAGTATTTATAATGATGATTTATCTTTATAAACGATTGCAATAGACAGTGTAGAGCCACAAAGCAGTTCAGAGTTAAATGAAACTCAAAATTCTTGCGAAACAACAGTTTCTAACCAATCAATTTATCAAATTTCTCATGCTATTGTACAAATATGGCTTTTCCTAATGATTCATATATTTCTGATGAAATTTTTTAAAAATCTGAAGAAAATATGTTGAGTGAACATAATTATGATCGAAAACCTGATGTAGTTTTGATAGATGCTGATTTTCTAATGATCCTTTACTCTGCAATGTCATTCCTAATAAATTCGAGGAAACCATTTCAAAAGAGTCAAATCTTGATGTTTTATCAAATATTATTTGTCCTCGTAGTGTATTTGTTTCTTGTGAGAAACTTGTTCAATGCGAAGCACAAGTACTGAATTAGCTCGAGTTTGATTAAAATTCGGATGATTTCAGATTAACTGCTGTTTATCCTTATCGCAAAGTCACTTCTAAAGTT